TTTGGGTTGTTTCTTTCTTTTGGCTAATAGGGCCAATGATCAGTCAATCATGAGCTCTTCATCTGTTGATTCTCCATTTTGTTTTCTTTGATTCTATTTAATAGCTTTTATTTTTCATTATTTCTTGTCATCTACTAGATTTGTGTTTTGTTTTCATTTTTCCAAATTCTTGAAGCTTTGTCATTAAGTCATTTGTGCTATTTCTGATTTGTAAATATAGATGTTTAGAACTATAAATTTGCTTCTTAGGATTACTTTTGATATGTTCCAAAGGTTTTGTTGTTACTTTCATTTAATTTCAGGAAATTTTTAATTTCTTTCTTGATTTCTTCTTCAATCCAGTCATTATTAAGTAATGTGTCATTTAGTCTTCGTGAGTTTGTGTAATTACTAGATTCATTTGCTGTTCATAAACTGCATTCTTGTCATATGAATTTGTTGAGAATTGTTTTGTGTCCTAGGATGTGGTTTTATTTTAGAGTAGCCTGTATAGGTGGTCAAGTAGAATGTATATTCTTTGATGTTTAGGTTCAATATTCTGTTGATACCTGTTAGGTTCATTTGATGCTTGATATCATTTAATTCTATTGTTTATTTTTTGTTCATATGACTTATCTTTTGAAGAAAATGAGGTATTGGAGTGTTCTACTGTAACTGAGGTAGACTTACTCTGTGAACTTAATTCCAATATTATGCTTTTTATGAAATTGTGCACACCAGAATTTGATATATATTTAGGATTTTAATATCTTCTTGGCTAATTTTTCCCTTGTTTTAAATGTGTTCTTCTTTATTTCTTTTGATTTATTTTAGTATGAATTCCATTTTGACATATATTAAGATTAGTGACACCAGCTTGTTCCTGGTTCCATTTGCTTGGAATTCTTTTTTTCAATCCTTTCACTTCAATGTGGTGCTTGTCCTTGAAAGAAAGTTCAATTTCTTGTACTCGACAAAAAGCTTGAATTTCTTGTAGACAACAAGATGATTTTGTTTCCTAATTCATTTAAGTAACCTGTGTACTTTGATTGGCAAATTGCGGCCACTACTATTTTTAAATTATTGAAAAGTGTGTTGGTTATAGTCATATTTTTGTAGTTGTTTCTTGTTGTTTGTGTTCTTAGTCATACTTTGTGTCTCAGTACTTAGAACTAAATTTATTTTCTTTCTATAATTTCTTGGCTATGTTTATTTCTGTCTTCAGTGTGAAATATTGCTTCCAGTATTCTCTATAGTGCTAGTATGGTGAATATATTTTTAGCATATTTCTGTCACGGAAAGATGGTCTTTGTCCTTCATTTACAGCAGATAGTTTTGTTGGATAAAGTAGTTGAAGTTGATATTAGTGGCCTTTTAGAACTTGGAGTACTTTTCTCCAAGCTCCTCTGGCTTTAAAATTTTCCATTGAAAAATAAGCTGGTTTTTTTTTGGGGGGGGTGGATGGATTTTCCTGTATATGTGACTTACAGTTTTTCTCTTGCAGCTCTCATATCATGTATTTATAAATTCTGTATTAGTGTTTTAACTATAATATGCCACTGGAATTTATTACCTGTTCCTGCCTAGTTGGTGCTCTGTGTGCTTCTTGTACCTGTATGGGTATTAAAGAGGATAACAATTAATGTGGATCAAAATGAAGTCAGAGCTAGTTTGAAAAACAGATGGTTTATTAGGAAGGTACTCAGGAGACAGAGCCAGTCCTGTGCAACCAGGAGGGTGAGGGAACACAGAGAGCCACATGCATGTGACTCTTATATATAAAGCCTTGCTACATCACTCTGACCACACCCAAGTGTGCATGGTCAGCATCACCTGTGCCAGCCCTCAAGCAGGTGTGGTCAGCATTTCCCTCTACAGGGTATGTTTATAATTTTCTTCCATGAGCCTGTTGAAAATCTGGTTTATGCCTTTGACACATGATTCTTTTCCTTCTATGCTCACAATTCAGAAATCTTATCTTTTCATGGTTTCATACTGGGTGTTTTCCTCCTGTGTTTTTTTGTTGGTTTGTTTTTCCATTTTATTTGCTTGATTGCTTCAATTCCTATACTTTTTCTTCAGGACTTGATATTCATTTTTGTGTGTTAATCTAATTTAATTTTTATAACAATAATTTTAGGTAAGTCTAGACCTCCACATACCAAAAAATAAAAATAAAATAAAGATACATAATTTCAGGCACAGCTAGTGAATGACAAAAGCTGAATTTGACAATGGAAGTCTTAACTGAGTAAAAAATATATTTTACGAGCTATGAATTGTCTATTTTTAATTTATATTACATTCCGACTACGGTTTCCACTCCATCCTCTCTTCCAAGTCCCCTCCTTCCCTCTCCTGCTGATCTACTCCTTCTCCTTTCTCTTCGGAAAAGGACAGGCCTCCCTAGGGATATCAACCAAACATGGCATTTCAAGTTATAAGAAAACTAGACACATCCCCTCGTATCAAGGCTGGATGAGGCAACCCAGTAGGAGGAGAAGGTTCCCAAAAGCAGGCAAGAGAGTCAGAAACAGGCCCCATTCCCATTGTTAGAAGTCCCACAGGAACACCAAGCTGCACAACCATGACATATATGCAGAGGACCTAGAAACCCATGAAAGGCATAGAGGGAGCATTATGGGGTTAGAGAGAAATCTGGTGCTAAAGAAATTCTCAGGAATCCACAAGAATGACCCCAACTAAGACTCCTAGCAATAGTGAAAAGAGTGTGAAGAGGCCTCCTTCCCCTGTAATGAGATTAGTGACTATCCTAATTGTCAACCGATGGAAGCAGATGCAAAGTCCCACAGCCAAGCAGTAGACTGAGCTCCTGGAGTTCAGTTGAAGACAGGATGAGCGATCCTATGAAGGGGGGGAGGGGTGTCAAGGGCATGTTGGGGAAATCTGAGCCTGAGCTAGTGGGAGCTCACAGACTATGGACTGATAGCTGAGGAACCTGCATGGGACCGAATTAGGCCCTCTGAGTGTGGCTAACAATTTGTGGCTTGATCTTTTGGGGGGAAGGGGCTGGCAGTGGCACCAGGACCTATCCCCAGGGTCATGGGGGGAAGCTTTGCTCAGCCATGATGGGGGGAGCTTGGTCCTGCCTCAACATGGTATGCCAGACTTTGTTGACTCCCAAAGAAGGTCTAACCCCCTCCGAGGAGTGGATGAAGGGTGGGAGAAGGGGAGGGGGAACTGGGGTTGGTATGTAAAATGTAAAAAAAAATTTAAAAAGGTCTTTTGACCCCCCACCAGGGGGTTGCAATGCACAGGTTGAGGAAATGCTGCTCTGGGGTCTCTTGACTAATAGTGCTTGGCACTGGGATTTTTATTTAATAATTCATGTCTTCTGAGAACAGCAGCCGTGTCCACACATGCAGGACACCTGTGTCTAAACTCCTTTGTTTTTAAATTATATTTTAAATTTTGCTTGCACGCTGGTAGTTGTCCTTAGGCTTCTTTATAGATCCTTGGTTTGGACTGATCTATCAGCTAAGGCCTCCCTATCATCCTCTCCCACACCTCTCCACAGTTCTTTTGTGTCATATGTGACCAAATGAGATTTTATTCCAAGTTAGAAAAATAAGTAAGATGTTTTTTGGATCAGACCTCTGGTTGTTTTCCCAGGGACAGAAGTATGCTTTAGCCCGGGGCACTGGTGAGGCCTATAATAGGTGCTTTTATCTCTGTTCCCCAAGGAAATCCATAAAGCATTGGGAGAAAAACACAGGAAAGGCATCAAGAGCCTGCTCTTCAGACTGTTGCTAGGCTACCTGTCCCCTCTCCAGCTGCAGCACTTTCCACTGGCTTCAGAAAAGGAGGGGGAACTGAAGCATAGCAGAGGTGGAGTGCAGGGAGGGACAGCCGCTGTCCAGCTTCCTTCTGGGGT